ACAATTTTCAGATTACTGTTTAAGAAACAAGTATTTAAATGATTTTTCTTCGGAGATCTGTTTTTCCATTGGGATTCCAAACTATAGAACCACTACAAAAATGAAAACAAGAGTACAACTAGATTATTTGGACTTAATTAAGCATGTAGAATTGCACACAGAGAAAATATTAATTATGAATTATGTCTGAACCTGGAGAATCAAGAAGGGATGTAGGGCCTTGGAAAAAGCATTTGCCAGTTACTGTAGGTCATAAGAATGAAACATTGCCAAAAATCTTAGTCAATGTTTTAATTGCCTGTAGAGGTGGTTTCAGGACCAAATCAGCCCTTTACACATTTCCAGAAGTGTTATCTCAGCACAGCTTTGACACAGCTTTGCTAATGGCAGATGTGAGCCCACAGCTGGCCGACTGATAATTTTCTGGTGTTTTGCCAGCACTTCTTTAATTAAACCAAGTGTCAAGGATTTGTTCAAAAGTGTGCTTTTCAAATGTTAACCAAAAGCTAAAAAGCTAGCAGGGTGGTTTCTTTGTTTTAACTCTACTAGCCGGTCATTTTAAGAAAACTCGAATGGACATGACTAAGAGAATACTGTGTGTTGCTGTCCCTCAGACTTTCATACCTGCATGTTTCAGAAGAAACTGAGGCATAAATAAAGCCACTGTTTCCAAAGTACAAAGTTTCTATCAACAGCAGGCACAGTGCATTTCAAGAAGTGTGGCCTGAGGTCCAACAAGACAAAGGGACACTTCTAAAATTGACCCTTGAGTGCTGCCTGCCTGGTCAGGGCAGTGCTGTGCTGCTGCTGGGGATTTCCTCATGCTCTGAAGGCACAGCAAGAAAAGCTAAAGTGTCCTCAAAACAGCTGAGTGCAAATGCAGCGGGGCAGCTCTGAGACACCTTACCCTGTGTGAAAATACCAATATCCAGCACTTTGAAGGCACTTTGCTGAGTGCAGCCCCAAGTGCTAAATTTATGTTTTTGTGTTGTCCAAGCAGCATAGTTGAAGTAGGAGAAAGATCATCTAAAACCATACAAAATCATGCACTCTAGATGCTGTATCTAATGTTACAGTGCACAGCTGAAAGAACAATAATTTAAAAACCCTCTCCCAGCAGAGAGTATGTATTTCTAGATAATTTATATCTGCCTCTACACAAAGGAATCTGAGATTTATCTTAGTAGATGCAAAGTATATTTTTTGCTGCTTTGGCCTCCCTAGATCTGGTTTAAAAAGGACTCCCTTAGTAATCACAGGACAAAGTTTTTGAGGGGAAAAAAATGAAATTCCAGATCTGTCATTAACAAAACCCTGAATCAAAGTCAACATTTTGTTTACCAAAACACTGTTTTCAAGTCTCCAGCAGGCAGCGTGATTTTAATGCCTTGATGTCACTGAGGGGAAACCGAGGGAGAATCGCGCAGTAAGTTAAATATTACAGCAAAGTTCATTCCAAAAGCCTTTGGGAAATTTTGGAAAGAGATCTGGGCTGTTTAAATCCTAGCAGTCTGGCTTAGCCAGAGAACATTCTTCACCTGCAGCCATGCCAATGTGCCTGCTGCTTCCAGCACACTGCCCTTGGCTGGCAGAGCTGGGGGCGGTGCTGCAGCCCCAGGGCTGTGTCCTGGCTGCCCCAGTTCTCCTGTGGCAGCTGTGGGGTGGTGCTGCAGCCCCAGGGCTGTGTCCTGCCTGCCCCAGTTCTCCTGTGGGAGCTGTGGGGTGGTGCTGCAGCCCCAGGGCTGTGTCCTGCCTGCCCCAGTTCTCCTGTGGGAGCTGTGGGGTGGTGCTGCAGCCCCAGGGCTGTGTCCTGCCTGCCCCAGTTCTCCTGTGGGAGCTGTGGGGTGGTGCTGCAGCCCCAGGGCTGTGTCCTACCTGCCCCAGTTCTCCTGTGGCAGCTGTGGGGTGGTGCTGCAGCCCAGGGCTGTGTCCTGCCTGCCCCAGTTCTCCTGTGGGAGCTGTGGGGTGGTGCTGTAGCCCCAGGGCTGTGTCCTGGCTGCCCCAGTTCTCCTGCCTGGGAGATGGGTAGCCCGTGGTGAACTCTGGAAGGGGCCACTGTTAGACACTGGAACTAGAAGCTGGCTTTGGGCTTGCCATCTTCTTATCACAGAAGCTTGTTGCTGTATTTTAGGAGTTTTAGTCAAGCTAGATATGACAGAAATAGTAATTAAATTGAAGTGTAAAAATAGCTTGTACTCTCAGGGAATAAATAAAACATGAGGATCTAGAGGAGCCCCTATACTGAAGCTTCACTTTTCATTGTACAGGGTCATACTTTTTATTTTAATGCTTTTCTGCCTGCAAAAGTGCTAAAAAGCCAGAAAGGCCAAGAGACAGTGTCTGGCACTCTTAGGTCTTCTGAGAAAGGCTCAAGGATTTCATTTTCAGGGAGGCTGAGCTGTAGGCAGCATAAAACTGTCATTGCATTCAGCTGTGCATTAACAATTTAGGTGGGGCTAGTAAATGGTGCATAGATGTTAACTAGGATATACATAGAGTATAATGTAACTCTTAAGCCTTGGTGATTCATGGACTGTAGTAATTTTGCCTACTTGTACTTCATAGCTAAAGAATATTTTAGAAGACATTAAAAATCTGTATCAAGAACAAAGCAGCAAAGTGTTTTTGCAAATCAGATTGCTCAAATTTTTCCTCAAAATTTTATATTGCAATTAAATCTTGATGAATGAAATGAAGGAAGGGCAACTGAGTTGGGGCTTCTAAAGTAGTAGGGATTTCTGAGTTAGCCTGTTCTGATTTTTGCTTGATCCACACAGAGTTCAGTGTATTTTTCTGTCCTTGGTCCTCCTTTAAAGCACTGAGGTCTCTGTCTTGCGGGCAATAAGTTTAAAAACAGAAATTGTAGCTATATGAAAAGGATCTTAGAAGAGATGGTGTCACTATTTGTTGGCAACAGCAATGAATATTTTGATATTTTTACTCATACATTGCCTGCAGTTGGTATGAGCAGGGTGTACAGGAAATGGTTTATGAGCCAGAAATACTGGTACACGAGAGCATGAGCTCAAGGGTCAGAAAAGGAAAAACAAGAAGCAACTAAACTTCACAATAGGCTGGTAGAAAACGTGTGCCAGAAAAAGGGAAAAGCATTCCAGAAAGAAACCCTTGAGGCTGCCTTCTTGGCTGGTACAAACTCATGTTTGTTCTGCTGTAATTTAGTGTACTGACCTTAATTTATGCCAGCTCAGGTTCTGTCCCTTCACCTTTAGGATATGTGCAATAATTGGTTTCTGTGAAAAATCCATTTCCTTGCCTTGGATGGTGGTTGTAGTGAATAAATTCTGCATTGCAATGCCACACACAGAAGGAGCTGTGCTTCAGCTGTGGGAATATAGCTTTGCTTTCTGCATTTGGCACTGGAAAGGCTTTTGGTCCCACCCTTCCAATGTGGTGGTTCATGGTCCTATTTTCAGGGAAGGCTTTCTGTTTGTTTGTTTTTGGTTTTTTTTGGATTTAGTGGTTTTTAAAATTTTTATTAGAGGGTTTGTTGAGGAAAGCAGTATTTGCATGTACTTGGAGATCTCAGAAGGGTGGGCGAAGAAGCACAGATGGCTGCTTGGCCAGAAACAGTGTTTGTTCTAGAAGATTTGTTACCATGATTTTAGTAGAAGATAAAGTAGTCCATGAACCTTCCCCTGGGCATGACTTTGGTACAGTTTATAGCCCACTTGAAAACTCTTGACTGTGACATCTCTTTGATCCAGTTACAAGCATCTTCTTAGGGAGATGGTGGATACAAAGCAAGAACTCCTCTGGGATCTCTGATGTGCCTGGCTTCCCCAGCAGACATCCAATCTTTCCTACTGTACAGACATAAGAGAACTGACTTGTAGCTGCAACAGGAGTTGTTCTTAGTGATTCTCTTCTGTTCCCTTTGAAAACGCAGTTATTTAGCCATGCTGTTTTCATATAATGTTATCTCCAGCTTTCCCTTGATATCTGTCATCTAGAAAAAATATTCTGCTGTTCTAGTGAAGTACTTAATGTGAATTCTACTGGTTTTGAATTGTATTTTTAGTAGTCATTTTTATTATCTAAAGGCTATGCAAAAAATTGCATCTGTGCCCAAAGCTTGCTTATTTTGTCCAGGCATAGAAATTGTTTTAATTAACCCCCTGCCTTTAGTAGAAGCCTTTCTCCCCTTTGCATGTGCCCACACACAGAGTCAACTTCTGCTGTAACTGCAGTGAGGATTCAGGCAGAACAAAGTCATTAAGTATTTAACTTGTATTTGCTTTTGGAATCTACTTCACATGCAAACAAGGCTGGTCTGCCAAAGGTGTGCATTGCAGGTGAGCTAAGGGAGGATGCCACTTCCATCTGTAACACCTGCCCTGCCTCAATACCTGTGTGCACACGTGCTTGTACAGCAGCAGCTCTTTAGTTGCAAAACTCCTACACCAACTCCTGAGTTTCAAGAGCTCAGGATCTGAAGGCATGACTTGAAATGCAAAGCCATGCAGTGACTGTAATAGCAGCATGTAGAAATACAAAAGGAAAAGTGGAAATATGGTATGGAAGCATAGGATGAGAATAAGAAGCTACTGTGGTCAACTTTTATTAAGTTATGGAAGCATGCACATTGAGTGTTTCAACTCTGTTGAATCTGAGCCCAAAAAGTTAATAATGAAAAATGTGAAGCTGTTGTGAAAAGGAAGTAATTCTAATCTAATATTGAATTTATCTTGAAGTGTTGTGCTGTTGCTGAGGAAAATGACAGCTCAATAGAACCTTATTTTTTTTTTAATAAAACTGTTGCTCCATTAACTTCACAAATTAATTTTCTTCAACAGGCACTTCTGATACTGTTACTTAACAGCACAGCTTGTTACCTGTTTTTAAGAAGTCTCCTGATGTTTATATCATTCATCTGGATTAGAATTTTGCAATGCCTTCACTAACCTTCTAAAGTTCATTAATAGGAAGGCTTAACTTGGCTGTTGATTATAATGCTACTTTTTTTTTTTTAATCTAAACAGATGTGTCCTGAAAGCAGCAGGAATATTAGAGAGGTACAGTGTGCATCATACAATAACAAGCCATTTATGGGTCGATTTTATGAATGGGAACCTTTTGCAGAAGGTAAGGGAAAACAACTTGGTTTTGCATTATTATACAGATTGTGTTTTGGAAAGGCAGATGTGATTTTTACTTAGTGGGAGCCATCAGGCAGCCTTGATCCACAGCTGATGTTACCTATTTTTACAGCTGAACATGAGTCAGTGCAGATGAAGGTAGGTTTATATCTGACACTCAGGTAGATCTGATAATGGTTGTTTCAAATTAGCCATGTCTCAGTCCTGCTCTTATCTACTGTGAGCAAAGTGAGGAGTGGCAGAGCTGCACCTCTTTATCTCCAATTCTGAGCATTCAGTGTATGCTGTTTCTAGTTAAAGCCACGTTTGGCTTTGTGAAAAGGAAGTTTGAGCTGTACAACTCTGGCACTCTGTACCATGCATTCAGGCAGAGCAAGGAGCCAGGTACCCCAGCATGCAGCACGGCTGAAGGCACATTCTGCAGGCAGCACTGCTTCTAAAGTGGCCCTGAAGAGTTATGATGTATTAGCTTTGATGCAGCCCTTTTCAAACCCCAGCTGAGGAGTCCCAGGCAGTGCTGAGGCAGCTCAGCCCACCTCTCTCTCCTTGCTTCCTACACAGCAGCTTTGACTCTCTCCATCTTCTGCCAGGAAGGATGAATCAGGGGATCTAGAACATGCCATGATCATTTCTTTTTCCCTCCCCTGCATAGCACAGCTTGCTCCTAATGTTTATACTGGATTAAGAAGGGCAGTTAAACTGTAATTTACAGCACTGTCTTGGTGGTGAGTTAAGTGTGATTATTGTTGTTTTTTAAAAAAATGCATATTTTTATTTCTCCCTCATTCAGATTGGTGCAGCTGCATTTCTAACCCATTTTATCCACTGCTGCTCCAACAGAAACTTATGTCTTTATTAAAAAAGTCATATTAGAAGGACTATAAACCCTATGAATGTAGAGTATTTAATGAAAAACCTTGTTTGTGTGTGAGAACCAATAGCACATGATGACTTTAACGGCAGGATTTGAGAAGAAGGATCCAGTTGTGGCAGAGGGAAAACATCACAGTGATGTAACCATAACACCTGTAAGGAAGTTTAACTCTAAAGAAATAATGAATGTTTTAATCATACTGATAATTGAACTCTTTTAATTTGAAATATTAAGTTCAGTTAACTTTCCTTTTCAATTGTGATGAAAAATTCATAACCTTTTGATGGCTGGGTAAAAGAATCTATTGAAAAGAGAGAACCTATTGGTGGATTGAAAAGGGTAACTGTGGGGATGTAGCCACAGGAGTCTCTCTTAGTGAAAAAAGGCTGCATTTGTTGAAAGGAGGGGGACAGCTGCAGACTTTTTTGTCAGAAATTCTCTGTAAGGTTAAATATGGAATAAAGTCCTCTTAGGAGAACCTGTGCCTGATATTTTGTCTTCAGGGGGATACCTGGATAGTCTCATAAACCCAAAATTCATTGTCAAATGCAGTATTTTCAAATCAACAACTGCAAAAAATCCTGGTCAGCTGCAGACCCTCTTGCTTTGACTTCTGTTTGAAAATGTCAGCCAGGTATGTGTAATAAACAGCCTTTTAAGCAGCAGTCCCAGCCAGCCCTGGGTTTCTGTTCCAGCTGGTAGAGTTACACCTGTGCAGGCACAGGCACCGTGAGCTCTGATCTCTGCAGGGTCCTGCAGGGACGCTGGGCTTCACTGGCCCGGTTGCTCTTCAGGATGGTGACCAGTCAGGGCTGCCCCCCAAGTGTGTAAAACTTGAAAGAGCTAAAAATGTGTTCTTTGGGGACTTGGCTTTTCTCTTCCTTCTAAGTGAAGGAATTTACAAGGAGAAAAATACTGCAAGGTTTGAGCAATTTCATTTTCTTAGAGAAAGAGTTTTTTTGCAAATCAGAGCTTGGTCCACTGAAAGTCAGAGGCTCTTCCCTCAAAGTAAAGGAAATGTTAAGTTTAAATGGAAATTATTCTGTTATTTTTTTTGTTTGTTTTGTTATTTTACAGTGAATTTTTAATGGAAAGTTTTCTAAAATGCATATTTGACCAAGCATAGCCTCCCAATGATATTTTGGTTTGCTTTTTTGTTGTAAATAAATCAGCTCTAGTTTCAGAGCTCCCCTTTCAGGTGACTGCACTTGTTTGCAGAGCAGGCCATTTACTCCCCAGGAATCCTGGCTGTTCCCAATGTGTGTGTGATTTTACATGAGCAGCTGTGCCTTGTGTTGGGGCTGGCTGCATGCTGGCTCTGGAGGCAATAGCAGGAGCGGGGACGTGGCTCGGGGATCATCCCAGCGCTGTCTGTACACTTGATTCAGTTCCACTCGGTAGAGTCAGGATGTCTTTGGCTCAAAGTGCTGCATGAAGCCAGCCGAGTTTCTAGGAGCGGAGCCACGCTCAGATCTCGGGAGCAGCTGAGGAGCGGCTGCTGGCAGCCAGGCCTGGAGGCCGGAGGGCTGCGCCGAGCGGGAACGGAGCGGGAACGGAGCGGCCCCGTCCGTCCCCTCAGCGGCCGCGTCCATTCCCGGAGCGGCCCCGTCCCCGCTGGGTGCTCCGGGTGCTGCTCCTTCGCCTGCTCCGGGCACAGCGGGCTCTGGCTGGCAGCAGGAGCTCTGCAAGGCCTGGCAGCCTTTCTTCCATCCCTCCTTGCGATGCCTGGCTTGCTGCTGTGACCTCCCTGTTGTGCTTGGTGCTGAGAGCCAGGGTTGGTACAGAGCCTGGAATACCGCGTTGCTCCTGGGAGCAGAGTGGGAGTCAGGCTGAGTTTCAGCTGGAATGAGAATTCCTGTAGCTGAAAGCAGGGTGTGTCAAATGGCACTGATGTCACTGCTGCATTTTCTGTGGGGGGAAAAATGTCTCCCCAGTGTCCCCCAGTGTTGTTGCTGCCAGACCTGACTACTGATGGGCACCACAAAGAGTGATTGAAAATCAGCTGGGGCAAAAGAGGCTGACAGGGCCAGGAATCAGCACCCAGCCTTGTGACAGGCCAGGAGGCAGTTTCAGCTGGCTTTTCTTTACTTGAAATAGATCAGAATCCAAGCATTGAATGAATGGAGGGCTATTTGGTCAGCGTGGTTTTTCATGCTGAACTTCCATGGAACTCTTTTCTCTAAAATGACACTCAGCTCAGTACTCCATCCTGAAGACTGTGCTGTGTTCAGAGGAGAACTCACGGTACAGGTAAATCTGTACATGCTGTAAAATCATTTATCAGTTCACTTTTGTCTTAAAGTACCTTTTAGTATCCTGACTTCTAGCTAGAGATGTCTGCCTGCTACAGCTGGGATAAATATAAGCTCTGAAGAAAATGAAATTTATAGCTTCCACCAGTGTCTAGTAAATTCTGCAACTTCAATACTTTGTGTCAGACAAGAGGTATTTAAGATTTAGTATGAATCAGTTTGGGTATTAAGATGGAGACTGAAGAGTAATGCAAAGCTGCAGCATTTATTGATTTTTAGTTTTTTTCTTGCTGGATTTTTAACAGTTGTCACTCATTTTGAATGACAAAATAGCTGCTTCTAACACATCAAAATGTAGTGGCCCAACTCAAGATATTAAAGTTGCTAAGAAACTTCTCGAGTCTGCTGGCAATTGGTGACACTGAAGACACTGAATGAGGTCTCATTAATATGATTTAAGTAATTATAAAATGGAAGAAAAGCCTAAGATCTGTGTAAAATCTTGCTCAGGTGCTGCGAGGTGCATGTAGCATCAAGCACTTGGAGTAGCCAGGGGTCAGAGAGGGCTGGTTTGAGGGCTGGTACAGAGAGTGCAGTTACCAGGACAATGCAGAAGCCGCTTGTGGATCCTGGACAGCCAGCTGTAGGCACAGAGCTGCTCTGTGCTGGTGTTTCAGGCTTGGGAGGTTGTAGCTCAGTGGCCTGGGCTTTGTGCAGACCATAAGGGTATAAGGGCTTGAGAGGAGAGCATTTATTCATTTCTAAAGTCTCATCAATAAGATGTTTGTGGAGTATTTTCCATTCAGTGGTGGAATAGCAGAAAGATGTTCCAAGGCCAAGCCTGAATATATTATGCTTGTATTCGGAGGTTTAGTGTGGGGTTTTTTCTCTCCTCTTATAATTGTAAGATATGTTTATAAACAAATTATAGATATATATTTTTTCTATGCACATTATTAGTTCAGTGTCCATTGCTGGAGTTCATTACATCTTGGTACAAAACCATTCTAGAAACACTGTGTAGGTTGATATATATGGAGAAATGTAACATTTGTGTCATCTGTTTATGTTAGCTGGAAGTGGAACTTCAGTTTAGAGTACTCAGAGAATTGGTCGTTGTGTATGGTCAGGAAGGTGGGTCCTGGTGTGTGTTTCCTGAGTGCCTGTGATCCTTGGCAGTGCAGTCCTTGAGACCCAAAGATAACTGAGTCCCAGTTTATGAATGCCTGGCCTTCCCTGATTTGTGACTGCCAGCTCCTTGGGGCTCAGGAGAGGCTGTGCTGAGCTGCATTCTCTCAGCTTTGAGTGCAATTCTTGGACAGCCTAATGTTTTCATGCAGAGGACAAGAAGTCATCTTACTGTTATATTTATACTTTCTCAAGTAACTTACTTCTAGTTAGTGAACATACAGATATACATATATCTTGCAACTATATATGTATATATGCATATATACTGGGAATCTGTACACAGTATCTCTAGAAATAATCCAGCTGTGCTGCAGTTCACCCAGCTGCAAGTTATTATATTCAATGAGGCAGCTGCTTGAAGTCTTCATTTCTCATTGCAGCAGACCATACTTCTCTGCTTCTCTTTTGCCTCCACCTGTTAGAAATTTCTGATTGCTTCTATTCCAGTCTGTGGCTAGTTGTTCTTTACAGTGCATGTCCTTTAATTGCATGCACTTTATTTCCTAAGACAGTTTGGTTTTGCTTCTCCTTTTTTATGTGAAATGCTGTAGGCAGACAGCTTCATCAGTGAGGCATCAGACAGTTTTGGGAGACTTGAAATGTAACAAGTAGATAGTGTTTATTTCTAATGATTAGTTACAACTCAAACAGTGCCTGCTTCCATAATGA